ATGCCCTGTCTGTCTGCCAGCATCTTTACCCCGGAAGGTCAACTGCCTACCATTTGCCTTATTTCATCTCATTACGCAACAAAGCTTTTCTTTTTTTTTTTTTTTTTTTTTTTGCCTTTTATTTGGACTTGAAAACATTTTCCCATTAATAAATTTCAAGGAGAGGTTTATCTGAGAAAGAGTTAATCCTTTTTTTGCCTCTAATTAATATTTGCAGAACTTGAGTGTTTTTTTTTTTTTTGAAAAACTAACAGGATTGAGAGTGCCTAACAGAAGTATCCACATGCCATGATTTTTTTTTTCTTTTTGCTACTTTTGCATTCTCTATCAGGTGTTCAAGCATTTCCTCACATTTAGCTCCATTCATCTTCTCATGAACTCTGACCAGTTGCTCTGTAGCTGCTAAAGATAAGGTATTTTCATCTGTGCATCTCTTCTAGTGTTACTCAGATGTGTAGCTGAAAAAAAAATGTTCATACATCAAAAATGACTAAATTTAAGCACTCTGGCATGTCCTCAACTGAGCTATGTCTCTCTGTAGCTCCTCCAGAGTTACCATGAGTCTTAACTGCTTCTCATGTTAAACGATTGCATGTCTTGGTAGATTTGCAGTTGTGCAATAATTAGTTCTTTTTTTAGCATGACAAGCTGGGCGGTGCTCAAATGTTCAGACCTGTAGAGAACTTTAAACTTCTCCACAGACTTATCCCTCACCAATCTGCTGTGCTGCTTAGCTTCACAAAATCTGCCAAGAGATTAAAGTTCACACAGGTAGGCTGAATGCAGACTGCACAACAGCGTTTTCAGGTTTTTGTCTTTGAAAAGTTAAAATCATCCATCATTTTTCTTTCACTTCACAATTCTGTGCTACCCTGGGTTGGTCCACATTAGAGGTCACAACCGCTGTGAGACACAAAAAAGTATATTGTGTTGTAATTCTGTATTATACTGACTAAATTGATCCTATTTAAAGGCTAAAAGAGGTCAAATGACTGAATCACATAAAAATGCTGAATCCATCTATTTGATATTAATAAAAAGAGACGTATTGCAGGGTTATGTTTATTTTCAGTGGTTTTGGGAAAACTCCCCCCTGCCCTGTACGCCAACATGTTCTGAAAGGTCAGCTTGAGGCCAAGATCTGTACACAGCAGAGGCTACAGGTCCTTATCCGATCAGATTTATATTCATTAGCGAGGTGTCCTTCCCTGCAAGAGATCGTCACTCTGTGGGAGATGTCAGCATAAGTCCATCAACTTGACTTCCACATGTTAAAGTCAAGTTGATGGACTTATGAACATAAAAGATCTCAAAAGACAAACAAGAGGCCAATCAGTTGTGATTGCAATTAATCATCTTAAACATAAAAAGATAAACTGAATAACTTTTGGATACTTAGTCACATGACGATTCATTTTGTCTTCAGCCTGGACCAACAAACTAAAACAAGGGAGTCGATTTACTGATCACAAACTTTTGCTAGATGTCGTATGCATCAGTGCACAAACATTCCAAAATACTAATCAGCACAAAAAAAATACTAATCGACATTTAAGACTTGCCTTGCCAGTGAAAACTTTGGTAGACAGGTGAGCGGCTGAAATGTGAAGACCTTGCAGTCAAATAGAGAAAGATGCAAACTAATGCAGAAAATGTTCTACAGCTGCTTAATTGAACTATTTATGAATTTGTTATAAATAATAATCCCACACTGCACCCTACTGGGTCCTTGGCATAATGTAGTTAAATGACTGTAAGTACAGTGTTTTAAGTGAAAGGAGTTTCCCCTAAAAGCCCATCAACAGTTTCTAGAAAACCTGCTGGAAACTTGAAGTGAAAAGCTGTGCACATTTTCTCATATTCGGTCAGTCTCGCAAGTGTGAAACGATGAAATCTATTACTAAAATAAAAGTACTATTTTCACAAGGAATGGTTCTTCTGGCACCAACCATTTTCTTCTGTGCAAATTGGTGGGGTTTTTTGTACATCGTGGGTGGACTGGGATTGTTCCCAGTTCTCCTGGAAAGCCGGGCAGAAGCTCTCGAGTTTCTCAGCATTGCTCATCAATGTCCGTCAGCCAGGTACATCAACAAGTACACCGAGTGCATCTGACACTCGTGTGTGTGTAAGCCTAGAAGCAGTGCTGACTACGATGCGTCAGGGTAAGATTTGATCACAGACTCTTCAAGTGCAAAGAAAGGACAATCCGTGTGAGCCGAGACTAAATCTGCTGGATTATGATTCGTGTTTTGTCCAGCAGATTTACTTCTCCTTTCAAACATGTAAAGGATAGCTGCATTTTTGTGTGTTCTGGTTTTAGAAAAAAATAAAAAATAGTTACTTTGAAAACCGTGGCTGAAATTGTTTTGGACAAGATCCTGAATATATATGTCTGAAATTAATCAGACTCCTTTATTACCATTCATTTATTTATGATACATTTCCATGTTTTTTTCTGAGTTTACAATAGTTTATTTTCATAATTAAAACAAGTAGGAATTGTTGCCACAGTCTGTGTATTCATTTAGTACAATTATGTACTTTTGATTCATTTTCAGTTTTATTTAACAGTGCTTGTTGCCCTGAATCTTTTATCAAGTGTATTAATCAGAACATTTTATAAATCATTTACGCTACTGGAGCATTAAAGGTCACGAGCAGATTAAAAAAAAAAAAAAAAAAAAAAAGGATGAAAACCATCTTTATTAGAGAAAGCTCCATAAATTATCCGACAGAAGCAGCCTATGAGGTTAGCCTGCAGGAACTGTCCAGTAGTGCAACAAGGCTGCTTGGAGGCTGAGTGTGTACATTTGGAAGCTCCAGCGTGTTGCATGCTGTTCGCGGGGCTGTACATGTGCAACACCCCAGGTGTCTGGTTCACATACTGTAGGATACAGGCCCACTTTTTGTGTATTTTAAGCACACAAGGAGCTAAACTAGGTCTCTTTCTCCTGCATCATCATCTCTCCGTTTCAGTGTTTATGGTGGAGATTTATGAGGCCGTGTTGTCCCAGAAAATATATGTTTGAGGGCCTCAAAACTAACGCCGGGTAATACAGTTAAGATGCATTCAGGCGCTACCTCGTTTATCTCAAAGAGAGGTAGCACTGGGACATTTCTTCCCCCCCCCCCATTAACATGCAGCTAAATTTTTTTGTATTTTTACTTCTTTCCCTGCTTTTGGATATTGAAACATTTTATTTTATTCCAACTTTGCAAAAAAAAAAAAAAAAAAAAAAAAAAAACCTCCTCCAACACCAGCTTTTACATTTTTAAACATTACATTTCTTTTTGATCAGTCATTATGGTCAATCCCATGACATCCGCCTGGGCAGATGGCACGTAACAGATGTTCATGTTTACCGAGAACACAAAATGTTTTCCGAATTTCAACCTCATTGCAAATAAAAAAAAAAGGAGAGACACAGAGAGAAGGGGAGGCAGGCAGAAGACATTCCTGTTCCTATAAAGGTCTCTTGCACAGATGTTGTTGCGCAATAAGTCATTGAAAATGAAAGCTCTCTCGTTAATGATGGAAACTACCAACTGGATGGTGAACTTTGCTTTGACAGCTGAAGGAGGAAAAACCCCTGGAACTGATGACAAACCAACTGTGAGCCCAAGTTTAAATGTAAAACATTACCTTTTGGTTCCCAAATTAAACATGGCAAGATATGAAATGCAGCAGGTCAAATAAAAAGAGAGTTTTTAAAGTAATAAACACAGGGTTTTAGACGACATTCAAATATTTGAAAGCAAACAGTCTTATTTTAAAAGTGAAAAACCAAGAAATACAATTTTTTCAAATTCCAATAAGCCTTTCAGTTGTCTTTGAAAGCAGATGGAAAAGTACAATTTCTGCCATAAAATACCTTTAGTTATTAAAATGCTGCGTATATCAGACAGGATTGCTGAAAAATGGCCTCCATCTCTTTAATAAGCTACTGCATTTCCTGACACTCCCCCTTCGGCATTCCATTTCAACGATGCTCTTCCATAATGCCGTTTAGAAACGATCTTACGAGAGTTGGACTGAGAAGTAGTTCTTATGATGGCAGGAGGAAATTCAAGAATTTCTCAAGAACCAAAGCAACATGACGTAAAGCTCAAAAACTTGATTTTGCATGATGCACCATCTTCAAGATTTATCCAAGACAGTAAAGACTGTCATAAATGGCCAACTGTAAGGTTCTCACATCAATTTGTTTTTAAAAGCCAATAGCTGGTAATGCATTGCATCATGGTGTAAAGCACTGAGCTAACAGACTGACTCAAGCTCAAAGCCTGCAAACAAGTTGATGAATTAAACAGGTCCACCTGATAGTGCCTGAAGTGTTAGAGTGATTGTTCCAGTCATTCCAGGGAGCTCGCTCTGCCTCCTCAGACCTTCATGCATTATTTATGAGAGCAGTCTAGGTTTGCACCTAAGCCCTCTCTGGAAGTCACATTAAACACCTCGGGTTTTTAAGAGCGTTTAGAGACGACAACAATCGAACAGAAGCGTGAAGGTATTGCTACAAAGTCAATGAATCGAAGCAATTATTAATAAGGCTTCTTTTCAATTAATAACTTAATTGGGATTATAATCATCCACTGAATTTGACTGCATCGTCTATAATTGGAGTTGAATGGAGTACAGGTACTGAATCTGGCAAGAGGAATCAAATTAAATGAATTGATTTAAGCCATATTGAATCTTATATAACTAGACATAAACTAAACCCATTTGTGTTGTAAAGTGGTTTAATAGGACATCTGGTGGGAATTGGTGTTATATAAATAAACCAAATTGAATAAATAGCACAGTATATTAGGCACGACTTTGCAAAGGTTTTTAAAACATCAAATAACTAAATATTAAAGATTAGCTTTAATCTTTAATCAAATTTTAATGCAAGCCTTAAAATTTGAACTTATAATTAAAGGTTACTGTGCATTGTATGAAAACCATCAGTGCCTAATTAACAGTCTATTCCAAATGAAATTTTGTTTGTTTGCAATGACTATTTAAATGCATTAGTATAGTACATTTAAGTAGTAGCTTCTGAAATGTAACATTATTGATACGGCAATCCAATTCTTTTAACTGATGGCACTGGTCTATATTTCCTGTACAAAGTAAGTATTTTAATCTGATCGTGTTATTATGAAAACACTACACTCGAACTGCAACACAAATTACCTCGACATAAAATAGCACAAAATACAATTAATATGAAATCATTATTCCAGAGTCTGCAACCTGATGAGGGCTGTGTACTGCATCTGTTGTCAAATCTGTCCTGCTTCCTGTCTGGCACACGTCGGACCAGCCTCCGTCGTTTTGGCAAGGAGACGGCTACACCCACATGACATCACTGACTGAAACCAGAGTCTTGAGTGTCTCTGATGTACCCGGGTCAAACACCGTCAGTCCCGTCCTGTAATCAGAGACGGGGGAGGGGAGGGAGGGAGGGCGATGCCGACTAGTCAGTTTAGTCAAACAACCCCATCACAGCCAAGGCACACGACACATCACAGCTATTCACTGACCCGCAACCAGGTGCCCTTGTTATTACGGCAGCACACATCCATTCACTGCTGAGATGAAATGAGCTTCTCTGATTTTGGAGAGGGAAAGCGGGGGGTGGAGGTGGAGGAGGAAGCTCGTGTGCGTGGGCAGAGGATCAGGTGACCAGTCACATTTCTGTTTTGTCTCAACGAGGTCACACCCTCCTTTGACGAAATTAAAATGTCAGGAAGGAGAAACCTGCTTCAGTGAGACGTATACATAAATATTGCAATATATAAACAAAAGTTATGTCTCAAAATATTTAAATTTAAAAAAAAAATCACTTTTTATATATTTAGCTCGTTTTTATTTCCTTAAATTTCTATCAAAACAATTACAAAAATGCAACAGATTATGGGTGAGAAAACTAAATTATAGCTGCCTGCCTTTCCTGATCTTTTAATAGTTTATCTGATTGAAAACAAGGAATGACCTCAACCAAGATTCTTTCAAAAATGTTTAAATTCTTCTTTTTTTTGTACTTTTCAAAGAGGTTTTTAACATGTCCACTCAGACAGACAGCATGTATATTGGACTTTGCAATACAATTGTGACAAAACATATTAGAAATGCTGCATGTCCACCGACAACTGCCCTGAGAAGGACGACCAACCTTTCTAGTGTCCCCCTCCTCTTAGCCAATGAAGGCCAGAGATGGGCACCACGTTCCTGTCCTAATCCTCTCCGATGACCGTACGAAGAGAAAAAAGATGAATGAATGAAAACAAAATATAAATTGGCCATTGTTTTACCAATATTGCTTAATGTAACTTAAAAAAAAAAAAGTTTATCCTTTACGCTCCTGTGTCGTCCCTCCCTCAGATCGTCTTCACATCCTCATTTCCCACTTCTGAACTGAAATTTACCATTTTCACACTGGTTCCTACACAACTAAATTATCATTTATGCCGCTAAACAAAACACAAAGGTGATTTTTTTTAATTTTTTACAATATTATAGTACTTTCAGCATATGAAAGGGTAATATTTCACAGTGATTTAGGGAAGAATCAACTGTGGTAAACTGCAGCGATAGACATTGCATTGAAAAAAATCCAAATTCTTAAGCAGGAAGAATATTAATAATATTTTTCAGCAGGTACGAAAGCACCATTTATACTGCCTCTGAACAAAGTGTGGAAACGACTAGGGCGGAGCATTACTTTCTGTGACTGATTTCATTTCGCAACCAAACGACGCCGGCACGTTTTAAATGAGCACCGTCGCGTTTGAGTCCAGACAGATGCACGCATCAGTCCAAGCTGAGCTTTGAGCAGGTGTCTGCGCGGAGCAATCTGACCGCACGCTGTTTAACATCCAGCCTGTTGTCGTCCATTTGTCCTGATCAAATGAGTTGAGTGGAAGGAGCAGCGACAGAGATTAGTTGACAGTGATCTGCATCATCAGCTATATGCTGTGCTTGCGTGTAAATGATGACGCCTGCTCGTTCTCAGGGCTCTCCTGCAGTTTACGCTCAGAGCCTAGGTGGAGTGCAGCAGTCACACTGCTCTCATGTGGGAAGAAAATGTACAACAGCTAGTTTATGCCGACAAAAGTAGTTTCATATACTACTTCACAAAAATAACTTCAAATTCTACTTTCACTGAAATCCATTAAGGTTTGGATTTTCACACTGGTTACAAACTTATCAGGAAATCCACACAATGCATCTCCATTACTTATGAAAAATCTTTGCACTGCTTTACCCACTCATGATAAACAATTTGATACACTTTGCTGAGCAGATAAAGATAAAAGGGAAAATCAAGCACTTCTTTGCTGCAAAGTACCTTCAAGTCCAGATAATCCCCTTTTTGGCAAAGAGATCTGAATCAGATTAAAAAACGCCGCATTGTTCCGGCATGTAATTCCTGCCCAGATATTGTTGTTTTTTGCTGCGTTTGGGAGGAAATGATCTGAATTACGTCTCAGTGTGTGCTTAATGTGCTCTTCCATTTGCCTGAGCGCCACCTGTGTCTACAAGAGGGATATTTAATACAACAAACCCCAGTCCACACCTGCTTCACTTCGTGTACGCTCAAGCCAAGTCTCAAGAAGCTGCACCAGATATGTGAAACAAATCCCCAACATCTTTTTTTTTTTTTTTCCCCCCCTTTCTTTCTCCCTCTTCTTCTTGCCACGGCCTTTCCATAGTTGTGTACCTGTTCTGCTGATAGATGGACGTTATATTTATACCAGGCGAGGCTTCTCAGGAGAAAGCCTCCCCTTTCAGCTGCAAAGGCTGCTGACGGCAAGCTGAATTCTGCCTTACCGGCCACACAGCTCCCAGCGAAACAGATGGGTAATAAGGTCACAGCAGACGTCTCACCAGAGTAGACAAATTGCAGACACACCAGCTGTGCTGACTCAAGACAACATTAAACTCAGGGGAATTAAATTAAGATCTTTTTTGGCAAGGAAAAAAAAAAAAAAAAATTATATATATAAAAATATAAGGTTTCTGGGTTCAATTCCTGGCCCCGGTCTTTCTGCATGGAGTTTGCATGTTCTCCCTATGCATGCGTGGGGTTTCTCCGGGTACTCTGGTTTCCTCCCACAGTCCAAAAACATGACTGTTAGGACTCTCCAAATTGCCCCTAGGTGTGAGTGTGTATGCATGGTTGTGTGTCTCTGTGTTGCCCTGTGACAGACTGGCGACCTGTGTACCCCGCCTCTCGCTCGGAACGTTTGCTGGAGATGGGCACCAGCACCCCTCCCGACCCCACTAAAGGACAAGGGTAAAGAAAATGGATGGATGGAGTTGTCGTCATTTCATCTGGAAATTACTGCCAACAGAAATACAACAAAAAAGTTCTTTGAAGCTCATTTGTAATCGTCGGCAACATTAACAGTGCAGCTGTGCTCTGCTATGCTCTTTACATCCAGTTCCTTCATTAAGATGTTTACCCCTATAAAGATTAGCATCACCTTGGAAAGACGTGCAACATGCAGGTGCATCTCAAGTGAATTAAAACGTCGTTAAAAAGTTCATGTATTCCAGTAGCTGAAGAAAGTGAAACGTGTGCGCAACACAGATTCACTGCACAAGGTGTTTGTTCATGCTAGTTTGATAATTATGGCTTATTAAAAAAAAAAAAACATTCAGCCTCTCTAAATTAGAATATTTAATAAGACAAATTGAAATTAACACCGTCATCGTCATTCTATGACCAACACCATTGTGTAGAAAACATGACAATTCAAATTGCCAAGCAGTTTGTCATTAATGTCCTACAAGGATAAGTAGCCACAAAATCTAATTGCTAAAAATACTGTATCCAAGTATATTAATGGAAAGTTGAGTGGGGGAGCGTAGAAGATTCACAAACGGGTACAACCAAAGACTACAGACGAGACTCCAACTGGAGACAGTGTTTCGAAAGCCATCAAACACGTAGCAATTAACTCTAGTACATACTGTACATTGCGACAAAGAGGTTCGGTTTGTGTTTACCACTTGCCCCTTAAATGCATTTCTAATGCATTTAATCTTTCCGTAGTTTGTCATGATGCTTTAATTTAAACATTGCTGTTGGAACTTTGCTTCACTCATTATCCCGGGTTTGTTTGCGGTAGCATTAAGTTGCAGTTTTAGTTAAAGATAACACTTCTGAACCATTGGATGACTATGAGTGTTTATTTTGGTTCAAAGTACATTCGGTAAATTTTTAGTTTTTCGTTTTACTCACCATTGCTTGTCCTTTCAGATAGATGCTACCATAGACATCAATACGTAGACGCCTCATGGAGCTCTGAGTCCTACGTTACGTCACCGCCATCTTGTATGTGGCAGCAGGGCGATCGGAGCTCCTTAAGTGTGCGTTTCAACCGTTTTACGAAACAAACTGGATTCATTCTCATTACCTTCTACAGATAAGGATGAAAGATCAGAATTACTTTACAGCCAGAAATTCGCTTCTAA